AAATTTGTGCTAACATTTAACGATCTTTTCGAAATTTTCAACTTTAGAAACAGATTTTCGAAGTATATATATATATATATATAAAGGTCCACTTTCTTCAGCCACTGCAGATACATGGACGAAGCCGTTCAGTATATCCATGGATTACGAGGTAGGTACTCTCCCAATCTTAAAAACGCCTAAAAAACTGGGTTTTTAGGATTCCTGATCTGCGTTCACAGCTTAAAGGAGTTTTATAATACATATATTGTAGAAAATCAGGTTTTAAAATACATTTTAACCAATAAATTATTACAAGACCATTTGTGGCTGTTTTTTAGAGCCAGTCGTAGTAAGGGAGGGTACAACAACAATCCCAGTGCAAGACACTTTGAAGCGGCATACAAACGATTGCTGGTGCACACAGAAATATCTGGCCCAGCAACAGAAAATATTACTAACTCAGATCGTCTGACTATTTTATCTTGAGGCAGTGGATATCATATCACCAGAGCGGACGATGGTGAAGATTCAGTGCAGTTTGAGGGGAAAATAAAAAACGATCTAGCCCTGTATCAATGCTCATCTTTTGCATGGAACCTAACAATTTATACCGAAGATGTTGTTGCGTATATTGCAGGGTTTGTGGTAGAGTGTCTTCAAAAATGTGTTACTTGTATTAATTGTAAGAGCATCTTGGAGGGCGATATTTCCATGCCATTACAAAAAAGGAAAGCTTATGGAGAAAAGACAGTAGCCTCAGTACCGGTAGTTCAAATTTGCCGTTACTTCCAAAAAACAACTAATATTTTCAACAAGAATATCAAATACCTCTTAGATATCCTAGTTAATAATACTATACAAACCATATTACAAATTATGGGTTATTTTAATGATCACCTTTTTGAAGATGACCCTATTGATGGACACTGTATATTTTTTATAAAACTCATTTTGAAAAAGTATTTCTCGCTCAGAATTCACCATGAAACTGTTAAACAATCTAATAGTTCATGGAAAACTAGAATTAGTGTATATACAAAGGCAGTATTATTTCGTCATAAATAATATTATCTTTCTGTTATTGGTTGACCAAATAGTTTTTAATTACGTAATGCTAATTTTAATTGACATTTATCTTTAAACCCTGGACTACCAGTGCTACTCATCATGTGGTTGTTACCACACGTTAATAATAATAAGCTCCTTTTAAGGAGTTATAGATGTTATTTTCCAGTATTAATCCCAATTTAGCGCAATAAAAACAAGCTTTATTACTCCAATACTAAAATCTGGAGATCCTTCACAAGTCAAAAATTATCGACCTATCAGTAAACTGAGTTGCATTGGAATGGTATTTGAAAACCTAGTGTGTGAGTTTTTATCCGCAAATTTGCAAAGTAGTTTTATAAGCCAACAGTTTGGATTTCTTTCAAAACGCTCCACAGAGTTAAATCTTTTAACATTCACAAACTATGTTTTGGAATCCTTGGAGGAAGGTTATTCTGTTCACGTAGTTTACACAGATTTTTCTAAAGCATTCGATAAGGTCAACCATGAGATCTTGATAAATAAGTTACATTGTCTAGGAATTTGCGGGGAACTTTTATCATGGCTGAAGTCTTACCTCACTGACCGAAAACAAATAGTGCGTATACAAAGCTTTCAATCAAATGAGATTAATCTGGGTCCTGTTCTGTTCAATCTGTACGTGAATGCTATTATATACTGTTTTAAGTCTGTTAGTTTTCTAATGTTTGCAGATGATTCGAAATTATTCTTAAAAATCAAATTTAATAATGATTGTTTAAATATCCAAAATGATTTGAGTTCATTAAGTCTCTGGTGTCAAATGAATAGAATGGAACTTAATGTGGAAAAATGTCATTTAATGGTCTTCAGCCGTAACAGGGACCCAATTGATCATAGTTATACCATGAAAGTTTGTCCTCTAAAGAGTGTATCCGAAGTTAGGGATTTAGGGGTAATTCTTGACCCAAAATGATCTTTTATTACCCATATAAATATGATTGTTTCTAAATCCCTTCAACTGTTGGGATTTATAAAACAATGTGCTAAGGATTTTCATAATATTCAGTCGTTTAAAACGTTGTTTTGTTTTTTGGTGAGGCCCCATCTGGAATATTGCTCTCGTGTTTGGTCACACAACTATAATGTTCATATTTAGGCAATTCAGAGAGTGCAACATAAATTCCTAAGATTCATCTCATTCAAACAAAACGTTATGGTAGAAGATATTATCTATTCCGTCATTGAAAGCTCTCTCAATATCTCAACCCTTCAGGTAAGACGGAATCAGAGGGACCTGTCACTATTTTATAATATTTTGCACTCTCTTAGTTTTGCTCCAGAACTTTTGAAAAATATTAATCTCCATGTGATTTCTCGTCAAACAAGGCTGAATCAACCATTCCATGTGAGATCATTTCGTACTAATTATGCTAGTAATTCCTTCCTGTCTGGATCTTCAAGGTTAGCAAATCAGTATTCTAATAAGTTGGATTTGTTCAGTAGTCAGAAAACATCCAAATTCAATTAGATTCCTGTCAGTAATATTTAATATTTGATTTCCCCATATATTTATATTTTAAATAAATTCGTTTCAATTTAGAAATGATCTGGATTGTAGTGTTTGTGATTGTTAAATATCTAAGTCACAGTAGGGTTAGGTTTACATTAGATTTTCTATGCTGTACTTTAATTGGGCAGTCGCTCGTTGATAAATAAATAAATAAATAAGTACGTAATTACAACTTTTTCGGCATGTTACGTTCGAGTGAATTCGCGCCTACATTTTATGTGCGAATATGCTTCCAATGAACGTCCAGCCTAAGCAGCCGCGTATCAAGACCCGAGTAGACCACTGACGATCCACGACACCTTTCATTTCTCTTATTTACCTGCCAGTATCAAAAAGCTTGAAACTCAAGATTTGGCGTTAACTCAGTGTATTCAATTAATGAGAAAAATCCGGCAAATGAACTCGACCTATAATAATATTTTGAGTGATGGAAGGCACAGTCTTTGCTGTTGAACATTTGGAATAATACCTCATTGTTTCTGTTTACAAAAATAACAACATGTTAAATAGTCGTCTCACTTACAGATCTCATAGATAAGTCATTCAAGTGCTTAGTTATTAATTTTATTTGTAAGCCGATTTATAAATAAAAGTATAAAAGATCATTGTTTTATTGTTATTTAATTTTGCATATTTTGATACTTTCATGCATATTTTAACCATGTTTCATGCATATTTCAAACTTATGTTGCATATTATCCAGTCTCTAGTTATAACGTTTTAGAGATTCCTGCTCATTTTCAGACATTGGAGGTTGGAAGCTGTATGCGGTAAACGGTTGTAAATTATTGCATTTATGACAGTGAAAGATTATTATTATTAAGAAGCTGCTGGTCTCAGTGACACTATGCTCCTGTTAGACATAAAGTCACTCATATTTTCCCTACATCTGACATGGAAACAGAAATATGATAGATTTGCTTTATATAGTTAGATATGCAGAGGTCGAAAATTCATCGTACCTAAGTGAACCGACGTAATCACGATTCGATTTCGCCTTTTGAAACGATTTGCCTCATCCCCTTTCTTTGAAACCTCCAACAAAGCCGTAGGAAGCATAGAGTCAATCTCCTTTACGTTTATCACATCGATTAATTTTCCGTGCTTCGCTCACGATTTATTTTTCATATTCTCAGCCCTAGACTAAAGTTTCAAGGGCGCGTTATGTGAGGAAATGCATCGGTCTATTGCTAAAAGTATTTTAGCAAACATAGTATTTACCAAATACGAAATGAAAGGTATCTAAATACATTATACATTTAAAAAAGTATTTTAAATACGAAATGAAAATACGTATTTTGTATCTGTAATTCATATACTTGAATCAGTCATATCTCTGTTCGACTATAGCCTTATCAGCACAAGCCGATGGTAAAGTAACTTGTAGTATTGCTTTACGTTATCTATTGATTCTCAGTAGCCAGCGCTGCTTATCGCAACCTTCAGATATTGCTATCATAGAAATCAATTTTTACAGAAATCTAGTCTGGTAAGTATTCTTTACATTAGCAAAATTTCCATTTCGTGTTTATCTCACACTATGTTAATCTGCAACTCAAGTTATTGGAAAACATGAATGCTTAGAAAACGTAGGGGACTGACGCAAGTTTGGTCAGGATATAAAGAAGAAAATACTTTTAACTCGCAACGCGTTTTCCTATGAAATCTTCACAGCTAGCATATTGACATCGATACAACATGAGCATAACGGAGATTAAAAGTTGCCTCATTGATCTCTTTACTTAGGCAGGCATGACCGAACTTATTGAATACTGCGTTTGTTGTGAATAATTATTATAATAAACACTCCTGACTTGACGCAGTTTGTTGTGTTAAACGGTAACCACGGAAGAAATTCGTAGTACCTTGGTAGGTGCTAATAATTTTGCAGCTCCTGGTTTGGATGGCATAAATACTTACTAGTGCAAGAAATTTCCCAGTGGTCACGTGGTCACTGGCATTTACCTAGAATTTTTAACTTGTGGCTAAATCAGGAGCAGCCAATTCCACCTTGGTTTGTCGAGGGCCGAACCGTGCTACTCTCAAAAACCGGAGGTTTGTCGGATCCCAACAATTATTGTAGACCAATAACATGTCTCACTGCATTGAACAAGATTTTACTAGAATTTTATAAATGCGTATACTCGAAAGCAGTAAACCCGGTAAACACCTCAGCAGATATGAGCAGAGAAAGGAGTAGCTGGCTCTAAGGAGAACCTTTGATTCACCTGTGTGTCACACAGGACTCAGAGCAGTACAAGCGAAACCCTTCAATGGCATGGATTGACTATCGTAAGGCATTTGACATGACGTCTCATAAACGCATTGTGCGTCTGTTGGAATGACATGCGGTAGGAGACCAAATAGTGAGTTGGATTAAACAACTGATGCCGCTCTGGAAGACTAGGTTCACAATCACCTCTGGTGATCTGGTTCGGACAGACAGAATAAGGGTCTTCCAAGAGAACTCTCTAAGTCCTCTGCTCTTCTGCATCTCATTTTCCAGCTGTCTGTTACGCTGGAAAATGTGAGAGTATTCTGCTATAACCGGAAGCACAAGGACACCTCTCTTATATGAATGACCTAAACTTTACTCCTCTGTTCCACGCGATTCACAGTAGTCGCTCAGAAATATAGTCGTACTGTTGGTATGGAATTCGGGGTCAGGCAAATTAATGAGCTATGGTTCATCTCGAGAAAGGACTATACGGTGATGGTAAAGAGGAGGAGCAGCTCGTGGATGGATGCATTTTGTATCATCTTCATGCTGGAGAGACATATACCTTCATTGGAGTGGCGCAGCTTCATATCCAGGAGGTCAAAGTGGTCAAAAGAGTCTGTCCGCCGCAAGTACCTGCATCGACTAAGGCAGATCTGGTCATCAGAGCTGTCTGGTCAGAACAACGCGAACTGCGACAAATATGTTTGTGGTGTTGATGTTTTTAATTTGTTAATGTTAATTATACTTTTCCATAATACAGTATAGTTCAATTTTTAATAAAGATATCTATACGACAATCATTTTTTTCTTTAATTCTGCTGGCTCTGTGCTCTTATTAACACTGATATAGTTGTACTAACGAGAGGTAGGTTTGCATCTTTTTTCCTGGTGATTATCATGCAAGGCAGAGCCAATAATTTCACATCAACTTGTATCCATTTCTCTACAAACGTTAGCGTCCACAATGGGGCCCAACTAGACCCGCGACTCGTATATTATTGATACGATGGTTCCTATTCGCTTACCGTGTAAATAGTATCTTGTGAACTTTTCTTCACCACTTACGAATTTTTCAATTACATATCTATTATAGAAGTAGATTCATTAAACATACCATCACCGCGATTGCAGTAACTGAAAATAATGTAGATTTGATTGTGCTGTTATCCAAAGAAATATGGAAGCATACCTCTTATGTGAGACACCTAATATGTCAAAATCCATTAAGCCGTTTGGCACAAACCCATCTGTGTCAAAATCTCCTCTCTTTCGAAGAAGTTGGGGTGGATAAAAACATTACTCCAATAATGTTTATCTGTATTATGATAATCGGGTAAAAGAGTATTCGCATACAAGATTTCATTATTTATTCTACAAACATGCTATTTTATTCTGTGATAGTATGAACAATTCATTTGAATGAGATGTTATTTCATTGCAGTATACCTCATACTCTTACATTCATTGTAATGTTTAAACATTTATGAAAACCCTACAAAAATAGTTTTCAAACGCGCGTTCCGTTACCCCGCCCTTGATACGTCCATGCTAGTTGACAACTGTCAGTTCCGTTCTCCCAGCGGCAGACATTTTTTTGTTGTTTATATTGTCAATATTCGGAAACACATTTTATGAATGAATGTAAAGGTCTATGTTTTTTTATCGTCGTTGGACTGGACAGAAATTCACATTTATATATTGTTGTATTAAAATGTTGAATCAAAAATATCTATTACCAAAGTAACTACTACATATTACTTTGAATACTGCATTTCCTTCTCGGAAAGCAAACTGCTTCAAACTAATACAAGACGATGAGGATTACCTTTACACTACTTTCACACGAGCGGGCCGCGGGATTTGAATAGTTTTTTTTTATAAAATAATCGCCTCTGACTACACATCCTGCATAATATCTGGACAACTTTCGTACGCCCTGGTTCATTACGTCGTCAACGGCCTCGATGCGCTGTGAGCTGAGGCGGCATCGGCGTTGCTGGATTCGGATCGGACCCTCCGCAGGTAACGGACATCGGTAGCTGGTGTCGTAAACGTAAATATTATGATATTGTGTTTACCAGGTGGGTAATAGCACCTGGATCGCAATTTCTGAATGATACAATGTCTTTCATTGATACCAAAAATGCAGCACTTACGACCCCCTCACACCTCCAATCCCCAATTTCCAACTCATACAAAAATGTTTTTGGAAATCATCATTAGGCTCCGAAACGTCAAAAAATGAAAGCGAAAATTCTAAAGCATGCTCCTGATTTCAATAAACTCTCCTACAGTTCCTTTAAAATGTCCACGTCTGTGACTCAGTCCAGCTTCATACAATATTAACGCAGTCCGATACAGCTGACCCCTTCCACAAATTTCGTTAGCTTCACGATGGCATGGCATAACATGCAACAGCGATTTTAGCTTTTGTAATGTGACATTAAATATGCATATGTTTCCTATTGAATATTTCATTAATTTCCTGCGTCCATCAAGGTCATGTCAGGGGTTTTTATGCTATGTAAAATATATTCTAGCGCTTTATAGAACAATAAGACTATGTTTTTTTTAGTTAAGAGAAGTCTGGGGTCCCTCCATGAAACTATCAATAGGATATGTTTAAACGATCATTTTTTCCAATGAATATCAATAATTTGCCTTCAAAAAAATATATTGTGTGTTTTCACATCTTTGTTTGGTATCCAGTCAGTCAACTGTAGTATTTCGCGCCAAAAGTGTTCTATTGTAATGCAATTTTTTAAGCAATTACAAAGAATTAGATGTTTTGCTCCAGACAAAGTATAGATTTGTGGCCATTCTGTAAAAAGATATTTGGTAACGTTTCTCCAAAGTTGAACCTTTTCGAGTTACAAGCAATTTGAAGTCTGAAAAATCCTAAAACTGACAATTTTATTGCTTAAAAACTCTATTAATAATTATGATTTATCATGTTGAAAGGTATCCAAGTTATCGTTAAAGTTTCCCCAACAAGTTTATTTTGAGGCATTCTTATTTAATTATTAATAACACGGTATCGGCCACGCGCCTATCGTTCTAGCATACAGGAGTCGCCCTCAAAGAGATGACAACTGGCACCTACGAACCATTTGCCAAAGCTTGATACATCATCAACCCTTACGCTGAAAATGACAGTTGGCTCCTACGTCTCTGGCCTACACTGAAAGACAGTTACCGATCTATGAAAGGTTAGATCTCGCGCACCATCACCAAAAATAACGACCAATCAGGCGTCGTCGTCGTCGTATTTTACCGCACGGATGAGTGCTAAGAAACATGAAACTACAGACTCAGTTCAGCCAGAAAAAGGACTGTACGAGGCGCTGTCGTGCGTGGCCCATAGCGCAATATTAACCGTCAACAATGCTTAAAAATGAACGGCTTGGGACAATGAGATACCTGAGCCACATTTGCATCTAAAAGCACCCGTTGTGCAGTTATCTATGTCCGAAGTTGATTTTTTGACAATTTGCTGATATTTGTCGCTATAATTTCTAAATTCCAAAATAGGCGTCAAACACTATCCTTCGACTGATAGCAGTTTTCGTAGTATCTCTGAGCGAGTAACTCAGGCGCATAAATAAATGTGTGGCTTATGACTTAACAGCCGTTATAGATGTGGCTTAGCTTTTGTTACTTAGGGGAACTATTGATTGTATTACTTTCACAATACCACTAGACAAAAATGCAAACCAGCTATTCAGAATACATCATTATTCTTATTAAGAACGACTATCGTAGACTGCAAATAACTTTGTACGTCTAAATACTATGTAATGTCGTGAAGAGTGACTTGTGCCCTTCTTGATCAAACAAATTCACCTGTGTGGCTTGAGGCCTTCCTCAGTCTTCAGCAACATTCATATTTTTTTTTCGAAATAGAAAATGTAGTTTCAAGTCTAATAATGAACATCCAAGTTATATGTTTACAAAATAGACCATTTTTAACTTAAACTTTTTTCACTGATGCCACCGTATTTTCAAAAACGAATTTATTTTACACCTTACAACATTTCTAGAAATAAAGTCAATGTGGCTTAGGTACTAAACTAACCGGAAAATTAATTTTCTACAACCTCTTACAGTGGAAGATTGGAACTTGAATTTATTATTAAGCATTGAAAATGGAACTTTACAAAAAACCTAACGCGAATGTAAGGTGTTCACTTTATCTAGTGACATTTTTCCACAACTTTTGGTGCTCACTTGACCCTTGGGGAGCCGGTGCTCTCATATCTAATTCTGGAGTGCAAAATTAATTGAATTATAAATTTTATTAGTGTCATTTCAGGAAAATACTTTCGTGTTCTAGGCGAGGGGTAATGAGCTCTCAGGGTCGTCGGTTTGTTGAACTACACAACATTTGGTCCCCATGCGCTAGAGTCGTGGAATCTGAAACGTTAAACTATTATTGGATCAGTTTGAATCCGGTACAAATTAGCATGGCATGCTTCAATTAGTTCGTAGTAGGATTTGGATTTTATTAACTGGAACTGGTCCGGCGTAATGAACTAGTTAGAGTCGCAGATTACAGATGATTGAAACTAGAGAGAAATCTTGCAAAATAAAAGTCCGAAATTCGTAGACAAAATTATAACAGCCGCTAACTGCCATTATAATGCTGTATTTACTTAAAGCTATTAAGTGAGATAATTGATAAAATGTACTGGAGTTGAGTAACTTGACACTTGACATTATTTCACATAAATCTGTTTAAAAGTTTTGAATACCCTAAATATTATTATTAATGTTGCAATGAAGTGCCATAGCTTTCATCACATGCCATATTATGTTTCCAAGCTTCGCCGTGCTTTCATAATAGGGGAGGCTGAACCTTTTTATAAGAATATTTTGGGATTTTACCTCAAATATTCAACCCTAAATATCTTTAAAACGAGTGATCTGATAAAAATTCCTTACGAGACAAAATTTATGGAAAATTAAACGGGTTTTCATGAAATGCATTTCTTTTCTCCAGTGGCGTAAAAAATAATTCCTGCTACGGGTTGCTTATGATGTGCTCACTGAACGTCTTAACTCGGTTCTTTTTGCCCACTCTGTAGATATATTTATTCAATTTCGTCAATCAAACTTCACCCGGTATCTCCGTAGGAATCATTTTTGGATCCATATTTATAGAAACTTTTTTATTTTTGGATGCACTTTCTAGATCTAGAAATATTGGCACGTCTTTCTGAAATACTCTCTATAGAGTATTTATATCCTTGAGCCTCTTAGGCTGGCGTTCAATCTGTACAGTTTTTCGGTTTTCATAA